TTCATGTGACTACCTTCGAGATTTTTCATTATTAATAGAAATGATACAAATTGACTTATATCTATGGGAATTATGACTTACCAGCTAGTGTACCTGTATTCGAGACTCGAACCCAGTAACGCTTACTTCGAACTCCATCGCACTATCCACTTAGCAACCGACTCCTGATAGCCACTTGCTTGTGCAGTAGGGTGAAGCCTAAATTCATTTGGTATTTTCTGTTTGTATCTTTCCATTGAAGTTTAGGACTGCAATTGATCAGTCTCTTATTGACATATGTGCATTCTGTGTGGATTGTCTCGATACTGCCTTTGGTCACAAGCACTATAAACAAAAATGGGTGGTGGATAGCAGTGGGTTCGAGCTTGAAGTAAACGGTACTGAGTTCAGATCCTGGAGTTATACGAATTATTTATAAGGCAATCAAACACTAACAGTTTAACAAGATATGACAATAAGAAATGAATAATTTTCAATTCAAGGTTAGCAGCACTACACTGTATTATGGCATAACCATAACTGAAATAATTATTTACCACAATTTTTAATGGATACTATTGTTATAACGGTTGTTTTTACACGTATGGGACTTTAATTTACCTTAGACGAATATCTACACTAGATCCCCTTCCAGTGTCTATTCTACAGGACGTCAACACAACTCAGATCAAGAACACGTGATTAGCCTCACTAGAACGTAAACATACTTCCACACCAAAACCCGGCACAATCCAACAACAATGAACAATCAATGATAATAATTATAAGGAAAGGGGAATATATAACTTATCTGACACCTGTCAGACTGTCTACATGTATGACTAAGCAGACAACCAATCCTAATCATTCTCGCTCACATATAAACTATTTTATGTGATCAAATCCATTTTCAAATTATGTACAGTGATCTATATTACCGACTGCTTATTATGTTCTTTATCATGTCGATAATTTATTGCAGTGAGTAATAGTTTCGAGATAATTTCAAGTTCCGAAACACCAAGTTTTAATGGGTCTGTTATAAAGTTGCTAACATAGAAATTACCTTCAAATATATTTCTTAATGTATACATACTGTTTCAGTTCCACCATTGGATGTAACCGTTAATCCATACATATTCTATAATTTAGTTTTCAAAATACATATGATTACCAATTATTAATATTTTGAGTTTTATCATAATTTGAGATCAAAAGCTGAGCCAGTAAAAACTAGACAACTGTTTTGTCCTAATTCAGGGTTTATGACTGCGTATGAGATATAGGAATAAAAAATCTTTAGGGGTCACTATAGCGTTATAACATTTGTAAATAAGTATTGTTGAGAAATCTCGAATGTTTAGGAAGTAACTGTCTAGGGCTCCTTGGTTTGTAGTCAAAAGCATTATAAGCAAATATGGATGGTGGCTAGCACTATTTGAAGCGAACTGTTCTGGGTTCGAGTCTCCAAGTGAACATCAACTCTGGGATGGAGGTACATCCGGCTGACGCGTCCTAAATAGGACGAAACGCGTGTCCTGGATTCCACTGCTAGCCATCATCTATCTTTGCTTATAATGCTTATGACTTAAAGCAATATCGAGACAATCCTCACAGGATGCACATATGCCAATAAAAAACTGGTCAGTTGAAATCCTAACCATCAATGGGAAAATTCAAGCAAACAATACCAAATGGATTTCTTTTAACTGGTGTTAAGGTTGTATCATAGAGATAATTGCATTTTATTACTCTGATTTCGTGCCAGAAACAAAAGTACCGGCCAGATAGTGTTAGTAACGACTATTAAAAGCCGTTAATTGTTTCGTGTATTGAAGAAAACCTCTAGTTGTCAAATGTTCTGAAATTCGTATGATCTACGCCCCTCTATTACTATCTCTGTGATATTCCGATGTGGCTGTTAAATTTTCACTGCAGATGGCCAATGAAACAGATTTCAATAAATAAACAAGTGTCTCCGTAACAGAATATTTCTATTAATGTATCTTAGGTGAAGAACTCCAAACAACATATAATCTCTTAATTTATGTCAACAATAAAAGTCTAACTGTCTCCTGTCATTTATTAAAAAATGACTTTAACATTTTCACTTATCACATATCTATAGTCTTCACGTTTCATATATTGTTTAATAAATGCCAGCTCTTGAGTATCTATGAAATTAAATCATGTGCCCTGATTTTCAATAAGAAGTAACAATTTTGTCAATGGAGAACCGCCCAGAAATGATCTAAATTTTCTAGCTTACGAGAAATATACTGATTTCGACTTTGTGGCCCAAATACAATCAGATTGTTCAGACATATTGGTTTCTAAACAAAAATCTCATTTGGCTATTAAGAATATTTCCATATCACTTTTTCATTCTTCTGTCTTTTGTAAAAAACTCCGCCTGAAGCCCCTCTGGGGCTACTGCCGGTCCCAAGCTCGGATAAAAGAGGAGGGATATGCATGAGGTTAGTGACTCCATCCCGTAGAAAACCAATTTGCTAAAAAAACGCTAACCAGAAAAAATAATTTGAACTCTGCCCTGGGAGTTAGGAGGTCTTCATTTAGCAGAGTTAAGACGCCTCATGCTGAAAGCCAAGTCCCTTCGGAAGTCACGAGGCTGATGCTCGAACAATGAGGGAGACCGGGAGAGTCATCCAAATTATTGTAGAAATGAAAAGATACAACCTGAAGGTGCTTGGAATCAGTGAAACACATTGGACGCACGTTGGACAAAAAAGACTAGCTCCAGCCGAGCTGCTGCTATACTTCGACCATGAAGAAGAAAATGCTCCACATACACAAAGATTTGCACTGATGCTTTCCAAACAAACAGAAAAATCACTCATAGGATAGTAATCTTATAGACCCAGGATCATCAAAGCCTCCTTCAAAACAAAGAAAAAGGGCATTACAACGGACGTCATCCAATGCTGCGCGCCTGCCAACGACTACAGTGAAGACGTTAAAGATCAATTCTACGATAAGCTGCAGTCAATCGCTGAGAAATGCCTAACCAAGGACCTGACCATTCTGATGGGAGATTTGAATGGACAACACCGGATATGAAGACATCATGAGAGGACACGGACTGGGAGAAAGAGACGAGAATGGTGTGAGATTTGCAAACCTATCTGCCTTCAATAAACTGGTCATAGGCGGGACTATATCTCCACATAAATGCATACACAAAGCCACATGGACTTCACCAGATCACACTACATAGAACCAAATTGATCATATCTGCACCAACAAAAAGTTCAGGAGGATGATGGAGGGTGTGAGAACCAAGAGGGGAGTTGATATAGCATCTGATCATCACTTGCTGGTCGCCAATATGAAATTAAAACTCAAGAAGCACTGGACAACGGGGTGGACATCACAAGAGTTTATTACGGCTTTTCTCCGGGATACTGTCAAACTCAAAAATTCAAAATAGGCCTCAGCAATGAGTTCCAGGTCTTTCATTATCTATTCAACGGAGGAGGAACTACTATGGAGAACAAATGGAAGGGGAAGATCTAGCAATGACGGTGGAAAAGGCTGTAAGAGAAGGAAACATAAGACAATTGCATGACACAACAAAGAAACTCGGTGGAAATTATCGTAAACCAGAACGACTACTGAAAAGCAAGGAAGGCAAAGTAATCATCAACATTGAAGAACAGTGAAACATGTGGGTAGAGCACTTAAAGAAACTCTTGAATCGACCAACCCCATCGAACCCACCCAACATCGAAGCAGCACCCACGAACCTCCCAATCGATGTTGGCCCACCAACAGTTGAAGAGATCAGCATACCCATCAGACGAATCAAGAGTGGCAAAGCAGCAGGACCAGACAACATTTCAGCAGAGGCACTGAAAGCAGGTGTAGCAGTAATTGCAAAGATACTCCACATTCTCTTCAGCAAGATTTGGGATGAAGAACAAGTACCAACAGACGGGAAAGACGGACTTCTGATCAAAATACCGAAGAAAGAAGATCTCAGCAACTGTGATAACTACAGGGGCATCACTCTTCTCTCAACGCCGGGAAAAGTCTTCAACAGGGTATTGTTAAACAGATTGAAAGACTCCGTAGATGCCCAACTTCGAGACCAACAGGCTGGACTCCGTAGGGATCGATCGTGTACAGATCAAATCGCAACACTACGAATCATTTTGGAACAATCAACTGAATGAAATGCATCACTATACATCAACTTCATTGATACGAAGAAGCAAATATTTACAATTATGTCTCTACACTTCATGTATGAGATAAGTTGTTACTTTGGCATACAGAGCTGTACGGATACAAATTTATAGATATTCATCAAACAATTGATTAGAGTTGACTAAGTGTATAAAAATAAAACTATTGATTGTTTCATATTCTACAGAATTTCAGTGTTCGGAAGTGCTTTGGGAAAAACTATGCCTATATAACTTAGTTCACAAGAACAGGTAGTGTTAGATGCACATTGTGTTGATCGCATAGCCGTACCAGAATTAACCGTCAAAATAATCTACATAGTTAGAAAATCTGGTTTCAAAAATCACAAACTGGAAAACTAAACGCAACAGAAGCGTCAATAATTCGTTTCATGGCAAAATACATTTTTAAGAATTTGGTATGCTAGAAGCTAAACTATCCATAATTTCCTAAGTTTTAAAATTCTATCTAAATACACATAAATATTGTGTATGAATGATCCTTCTGATCCTCAAAAGGTTGTTCACACGAGTCGAAGTTTCTCCAGTACTCATTTAAAACCAAACACCTCGTCAATATACTCTTTACATTATAAGAAATTTTCAGACTTCTTAAGTATAAATCAATGATTACAGTGTGAATCTGCCTAAGCGTTCCTGTAAATATCCATGTTTTTCTGATTTGTTTTTTAGCTACTTAATTAATTACAGTAGTATATACTAAAATGTCCCCTTAGCCAATCATTTTACAGTAGTTATTGACCAATCATCTATCTGTATTTCATAATATATTCCTTTACCTGGCTTGTAACGATCAGTTGTTACCTTTTCTCTTTGGGAATGTCAGCTACTGCTAGTATCACTGCACCGGTTCAGTTATGTCGAAGGTTGTTTGGTGAACCTGTATCATGTATACGTATTCAGCAAACTTTGGAGACAATTATACGTAAAGATTTAGACCGTTTCCAAAATAAATGGAACTTTCAACCACCCAATATTGTATTAGAGAACAAAATTCGGAAACCACTTTCTGTACATCAATTACATAGTGGAAATTTACGGAAAAATTCTACAAATGAATTCATTTTAGAACCTGTCCAATCACCTCCAAGTTTCTACATAAAATCTCCGCGTAAATTAAAAGCATTTCGACGTCTTCCAGTGTCAGTAGCGCAAAAAACACGCATGGAACTCTATAAAAAGTCTACAAATAGTGAACTCAGAAATTTCACTTATTCGTTTAATTCATCATATAACCTATCTAATACTGATACTTTACTAAATGATAATCAAAAATCTGAAATGAACTTTCCTTCAACGACAGAGTCAACTATCTCAATAACTCTGAATCAACCATCACCAACATCATCATCAACACCATACAAATTCGGCAACATATCACAAGTTACTGAAAAGTTATCAGAAATAACAACGACAACATTACCTGTGAATCCAATTATTATCCGTTCAGATAATAGTAGTAATAATACAATGTTACCATCAAGTTCGAATCCCTGTTCTCAACATTCAGTTAAACTGATAAAACCTGATCGATTAAGTTTAAAGAAATCTGGGCCTAAAGTAACAGGTAATTCAATAATTCTTCTAGAATTGTATTATACTTATCTATTTTTTTCGGTTAATCACCTTAAAATAATATCGGAAATCAATGTGCTTTGTTGGTCTAGTCACTTTCCTCCTACCTTTCTTTTTCTAATTGGCTAACTAGTAAAATTTATTTTTTAAAAATAGCTGATATTAACACTAGTGTTCCTGTATATTTAGTAAATTGCTGTAAAAAATTTTAGTTTATGAACACGGAATTATAAGATCATTAAAACTAATTTATAGTTCTGTATTATTCATATGTCTTTAATTCAATCCGCTATGTGGAAAATTACTATGAAAATATCTCAAACATCAACTAGAAAAACCTTGAAATTCAAGAGTGTTGAACAGTTGTTTCGTAGAGTTTGATAATAAATTAAAGCTAACTCTGTATTGAATAAAGATGGTCGACAGTGTGAATAATTACTAAGTAAAAAATAATGCATAATGTCCAAGTTCTAAGTATGACAGTAATATTCACTGGTTTATGCACTTGTTTTCACAAACTTAATTTGATTACAGATTAAAACTGAAATTGATTCACTGTTGTACCATCATTTGTTGCGAATGATACGTTTAATATGTTCCATAGACTTGTATATAAACTTGTATTAGATAGTTGTATTTGGATTTAAATTTTTCACTACTTAATTCTTCCTAATGATGAACTTATTTCTGTTGTTATCCAATTTTTATTTCTATTAGTGATGAACTTGAAAATTCACAATTCTGAACTAAATATCTAAATTAATTGTAAAATTCACTCGATTTCGCTAACGATGGGTATTTAATTTTTAAAAAATACAATTATCCAATTAATTTCGATTATGATTGTATCATTTAAAATCTTTTTTTTATTTATTGAAATCATGAGACAATTTAAGCAATATTGAAAACTTGGTAGTACTGAATGGAGATTTTATCCTAGTACAAAACTCCCCCACAGTGTTCGTCCACGAATCCGCATGCAGAAATCGAATCCAGAAATTTCTGTCTCGCACGCGAAATCCATATTAAGGTGAAACGGCCGTCCAGTGCTTCCAAATTTTCAATGATGATTCAACTTAGATTGATTCATGATCTCAATGAAATCCAACAATTTTTACAACCCCTTACTCACAATTGTTTTTAAATTATATGGAATAGTTTTATTAAAAGTGGACGTTATAATTGTTATGAATTATTTACTAGAATGGTAATTGGATAAGATTTAATAACGATAATTTTGTACAGTTACTTAACGAGAAGATTAATAATGTCAGTGTATATTATGATATGACTGTGAATATCACAGAATGCTACTTATTCAAATATAAGTACATTAGTCAAATAGAATATGTAAAAAAAAATAATGTAAGCGTCATTCAAAAGTTATCACAATTCCTAACACTTATAAATATCCCTTAAATTTGTCTGTAATTCATATAAATAGTTTATTGACATTTTCAGAATAACAAAAAAATGTATAATCAAACATTTTTCTTTGCAAATTTACATTATCAGAAGGGGTTTGTGGAGATTTTAGAAATTTCACTAGTTGAAATCATGAGTCAATTGAAGCTAGACCACCATGGAAAACCTGAAAGCACTATACGGCCGTTTCGTCTCAGTATGGGACTCCTCAGCAGTGCGCATCCACGATCCCGCCCCCCGCGAGATTCGAACCCAGGACCTATCAGTCTCGCGCCAGGCGCTTAATCAACTAGACCACTGCTGATGAGTCCCATACTACGACGAAACGGCCGTCCAATGCTTCCAGATTTTCTATGGTGGTCTAGCTTCAATTGACTCTTGATTTACATGGAAACAAAACAGATAGATCGGTATTAACTATTCACAAAATGATGTAATCAGTTAAAAATTAAATGAATTCGCCTTGTTTTACCAAGTTCTTTTAACTAATGTGGTTAAAATTAATTGGTTCATATTATTTAATAATAATCCAGTATGTAATATTTTATAATACCAGAAAAACTGAAGACCTTTAATTCAATCTATCATTGTAAATTTAATAATGCGATATATTTTTTATTTACTTAAACTTCAAAAAAGATCAAATCACGGGATCATTTGATCATTTTAAACAAAACGTAAGGAACAATAGGACTAAGAGAATAAAAATAAATCCATACAATTACAAGAAATCATAACATTTTAGTGTAAATATAGTTAGAGAATCTAAACGACATAGCTCAGGTGCATTCAGTTTTTGTTTTTCTCCAAATTCTGAGATTCTAAATATCTCTTTACTTTTTTTCGTGTATTCATTTCGTGTGGACTTGTATCTTCGATACTTAATCTTGTCCCTTACCCATTATACTGTTAATATTTCTAGTATTATAGGATTCAGTCTGACAATTTCATATATATGTGTTAATGGGATTATGGAAATTCGAATCAATCAACATACGTACCAGGTTCTATGTTGTAATTGATCAACTAACTGAAATATGTTTTTTTTTAGAAAAAAAGCTTGAAACAGTCTAGTAGTAAAAATTCACAATCAGACAGAAAATACTGTATTATTTTCATTATGTATACCTTGAACTCTGGACAAATATTAAATTTCACTAGTTGAAATCATGAGTCAATTGAAGCTAGACCATCATGGAAAAACTGGAAGCACTGAATGGCCGTTTCCTTCTCGTATGGGACGTCTCGGCAGCTGCGCACCCACGATCCCGCCCCCCGCGAGATTCGAACCCAGGACCTATCAGTCTCGCGCGCGAGCGCTTAACCATTAGATCACTAAGCCGGCATTCAATAGTGTTAATGTCTAACTTCAATATACTAGGACGAAACGGCCGTCCAATGCTTCCAGGTTTTCCATGATGGTTTAGCTTCAATTGACTCATGATTTCAACTAGTGAAATTTCTAAAATCTCTACAAAAACCCCTTCTCAGAATACTGAATTGTATAGACTATTTTTCTGGTTTACTTATACCTATACTCTTATCTTATATAACACCTAAACAACGAAACTGAATGCTTCAATAATGTACTCTTTGTTTATTTTTCATATGGATTGAATATTAACAATTTTTCCAACAGTTATATTGAAAATAAATTCTCGCATAAAATTTAAGATTTAACTTCCTGACACCATATTATTAATAGTAGTCAATTTAAAAATCAGTTTAATTTAAGAAGATAAATAAAGTTTAGATTTTGTACAACTACAGTTAAATAGGATACAAATAAGAAAGAAGAAAATACCGAATGACATTACACACATTGTAGTTAACATTTTAATTCAGCTTGTTGGTCATATTCATCACAGGTCGATCTCAGTTCAGATGCTACTGAAAATCGATGAGCAGCGGACAATTATTTTCTCATAATATCAGATTAGTGGGGATGTAGATGAGCACTGCTAAGGAACCCGATATTGTTTTAAACATTTGATAATGATCGAATAGTTTCTTCTTTAATGACTTGATAATGATATAGGAATAATATTTTCTTTTTTCCACGCTTATTTTACAGATTATTTTGCTGTTAAGCGACGACGACAATCTATGAAGTAATTCATAGTTTTCAGAAAGAAACAAAAACAATCAAGGTAAATTTTATTTTATTTTACTCTTTCCTTTAAATGTTAAGTACATGTTCAAGTACAAACCTATTATTAATTGTTAGTTTCATGATGAAATTGTACACTTGACAGGTCATTTTTGAACTCCAAACTGTTTATTTTTTTAAAAGGGCTGGAAAACCCAACCAGTACTTGACACATTTCATTTTAGTTTGATATTCTGTGTACCTACTACCTGGCACTGAATTCAGTTTATATTCTTCAGTGGTAAGAATCGATGGTCAAGAAACCAATGGTGATTATCCGATGTCCTTCAGGAAATTCTGACAGAAAATGTTGGCATCATTTATTGAGTTGTAGTTCCAGTAATGCATATCCAACACAATAAGCAAAACTGGAAACTTGAACGATTTAGTCTTGGTTCTTGAAATTTCAAAAAATCTCTTTGATTATCAGTCTGAGATGGAAGAAGTAGATAGGACAAATTAATATCACAGTTATCTTTAACCACACATTAAACCCTAAATTAGACCAATTCTTAGACTATGGAAATAGGCTAAGGCGTCCATTTTCATTTTATAGGTCAAAAGACCTCTCTGTTGTAGTCCCTAACCCATGAACTCGATCAACCATATCCACTTGCTTCTTGAATCTTATATTCCAAATTCAGTCTCACATACATCGTGTGTAATATTCTGAATGCACCTTTATCCAAGATCCGGAATCTTACAAACAAACTACCCAGGAAATCCAAAAGCCCTTGGTAGTGGTTACATTAAACCTTCCTATGGTTCAGCCACTTAGTGCATTCTAATCATCCTCTGATAGGTCTCCGCATTCTGATGCCATTTGTAAACAACAGGATAGATAACTTTGCTAATACATATTAACGTTTATATAGAGTACGGAACAACAATACAGAACTTCCTCATTTCATTGTAAACTCAATTACTTTATACACCAGTACGATTTAAAATTAAACAGCCCGTATTTTTAAATTCGGCCTATTTTATGATACAGTCTAACAATAATCATCCAGCGTGATGCGATTGAAATGCACTAGTCACTATTTCTCACAAAAAATACATGATTATTGTGAAGAAATAAATTTTCATAGAATTAGTTATATACTTAAAGTCAGCTTAAATGTTTGTAAAATGGATACTTCCTTTTTGTTATGATACATTCAGATTTTTTGCTTGCTTTACTAGTTAGATTATCATCAAGGTCATAACCTGGAAACACTTCATCCGTTATTTCTTTATTTTGCCCCCAAATACCCTCCATACCACTAGCTATTAGAAGAAACATATTTTTTATGACTCATTCATCTTAACAATAAAGACAGATGCATAGTTAGATTTCCTTTGTGTATATATTCGTGATTAAACTTGCCCCCCTGCCAATCTGAAATACTTGATTGGCAGAAATAGAGGATCGTGCCTGTTTTTGTATATTTCAGTCCTTATTAATTAAAGGACTATGTTTAATAGGAATTAACCTTCCTCATTTCTTTTGTATATGTTTATTCCATATGGTGGTAATTTTCTTTTTCACATATCCATCTGGTTTTTATGTTTTCCTAATTAAATTGACTGTTTATTCACCCTCTTATTATTTTTATTGTGCATATATGTGTTTCTGTGTATCAAAACATATTCGCATAGATTACAGACAAATGATTTCTTAAAAGTATAGAACTTCTCTGCACAAACACACACACAAAATCCCTTTGTATTCAAATATGGTTTATATTATATTATTTGCTTGCACGTGTTCTTAACTGACATGTGGGATAAAAACAGAACAGGATGTGTTCAATACACATAACACTAAGAGAGCATATTTTTCTTCAAATAACCCTTTATATTGATTGAGAATACTTGAGAAATATAATAGCAATAATAATAAAGTGGAAATACATATATTTATTTTTAAGGCAAACATTTCAGAAACGGAAAAATTAAAAAAAATGAAACGACACAGAAACTTAACGGTCTAATTTCGTATGTGTCTTCAGTATGTTGATTAAGGCTTACAAGTTAGACTAAGATACTGTCTGAAGTATATAAATGAAGGATACAAACAACTTTGTTGATTGTGTCCTGTTTATAAGAAAAAAAAACAGTCTAACTTAGAGTTTAAAAACAATGAACTTACGAGCAATTAATCGGGTTTCAGGTGAGATTGTTTAGCGAATCCTCATATAAGGTGCCAATTACGAGTGGCGTCCCTATTGGATACTAGTCTGATCTATCATAAACATGTTCATTTGCATCTGACTTGTTTAATTAAATCGAAACTGTCGACAAAGTTCGTCTAAATGCCTTGCACGAAAATATCAGAAATCTGAAGCTTTAAAAGTTATATGTACTGATTTCTGATTTAATAATAAACAATAAGTCATTGTAGGCATAGTAAATATCTAGTTTCCAGGTATTATTGGAACTTTATCCTCACACAGAGTTGAAACAACAGTTAAGTAGTACTCATGTTAGATACAACGATTTCCGAACACTGAATAAGCCAGTTGATAAGAATATAAGTTTATATATATATATACTATGGTTAACTTCACAGTCCATAGTCAATAATACTCATTAACAAAGTTAGTAGGCATCTTATTCGTTTAGACATGAAAATATGATGATTAAAACTCATATATAATAACATCATAGATTTGTGAAATAATGAAAAGATGTTCCAAACTTGAACAGAACAAAATATCCAGCTGATGTGGATTAGTTCATGATGAAAACTATCCTGTAACTACAATTCTTCCTATAGATCACATCTATGTCATTTAAAAACTTATTTTCTGAGTTGTAGAGAATGAATGATCAATTAAACAACTGTTGTTAATTAATAGTAATAAACATGATAATAATACTATTGGTAATGGAAACTATACACATTTACTCAACATAAATATATACCAGTAACATCGATAATCAATATCTCCTAGTTATATATTTGTTAACTTGTAAACATGTTATTAGTAAACATTCTCTTATTTTTACCAATCTAAATAATAATATTTTAGTTGCTATGCTGAAATTTTTGTTCGTTTATTAATTGAATTTTTATACAAGTAACTAAGATGAATCATCACGGCTATATATATATATATATATATATATATATATATATATATATATATATAGGTTGTAGGTTTGTCTTATTTTTGTCACGGTCAAGGTTACAAAGTATTCTCTATACAACTTGCCTTTATCCGTATTTATTCAACCATTCTTAGTATTTTCAATAAAAGTAGTTTCTTTGTCTGCTATAAGTTTATATTTCATCCAAGTTAATAGTTATTTAAATCAAGAAAATATATGTATATCTATTTACTTAGTTTATATATATCTCATTAGCCTATTTATCTAACAATATTTAAGAGTTTGTTTTGAGACCTGATGGTCTTGAGTTCCTTCCTTGTGGTGAGTCATAAGTGTGCGCTATTAAGAAGTCCTATATTAGGGTGAAATAGCTGTTGAATGTTCCATTGTTTTCAATGGTATTAGCCTAGCTGAGATCACTTGGAAATTATTATGTTGTTAAACTTGTTGACTAAAACAAGAACAATGAACGTAGCAAAATGATGCGAATCTCTTTTATTTCTTGGTTTCTCATCATTTGTTTACAACCTAAACATAATAGTATCAATCATTTGTTTTTTTTTCACTAGGATAATCAGATATTCTATCTCTTATAGTTCTTCCATACTTATTGGACCTTTTATAAATTTTCATTGATGAGATCATTTTCAATATAATGATATGAAGTGATGATCCTAATAGGTGGTATGATACTTGACACAAAATCAAAGATCCTCTCATATATCATATGGGGAGGAGGTCATGTAGTTCATACGTTGTTGATGAATCCTTGAACTAAAACAAAACACTTGTCTAATGTCTCTTGAATCTCTACCCAAATAACCTGACTATTATACCATTAAAACAAAATACATAAAACTATCTTGTTGGGCGATGCTATATTTTTATTTTCTCTGATAAATGAATGACTATGAATAGTAGTATTATTATGCATTAATTTTTCTCCCGTTTTCTTTTTCAACTTTCTTTCAGAAGATCAATTCGTTGAATAATGAGAATGCATTTGAAAAATTGGATAATAACTTTTTTTCAATTATTTAATGGAACAATCATTAAATAATAAAAAAAAAAACAGAAAAAAACTACATTGTTTAACACAACGCAGATTTATTTATTTCTATCCCCCATTTCCTCACTTATTCCCCTTAAATATACTCTGTGAATTAAGTCTCCCTTCCCCTCCTCTTTGTTCTCAATTATTCATCTTTTTTTTCTGATTCTAACTCTATTTTAAGTTATGTTAAACAATACAGATTTTATTATGTACCATTATTATAATTATTATTGCCAATAATATTATTAAAATTATGTTTATAAATTGGTTGTTTCTTCTTTTTTGTTAATCAATTACAGACTGGTTTATAGAAAATATATACTAGATTACATCAATCGATCATTGCCGGTCACCTAATGATTAATTGTCTACTGTTATCTAGAACTAATCAAACTCTATCGATCAAATTAACTATATGTTCGTTAACTCAATCGATATCATGTAGTTAATTTTGTTTCATTTCAGCTATTGACATTTTATTCGTAGAAACATCTGAATAGATAAACTATAATCTAACTATAGTAATTGAGTAGGTTATCAAGTAGTTGATAATTACAATTGTGGAACTAATTCTGTAGTGTGGAAACGAAGGAGCAATCAATTCTGAGACAATTGATTAACAATTTGCAAATGAAGTATTTACTGTATGGTTTTCAGATTTTACTAATAGATTATGTAATTTTGTATCCAAATACATTTGGTTGTCCTCACTTGTGTTCACGTTCACGACAATTCTACCATAAAGTTGAGTGGTAGTACTATTAAGAATTACCTAATAATTGTGAAGCCACTTTTCAGACGACAATCAGAGTCTGCAAAAATATCAAAAGTATTTCTCCAAAGGTATAATGAATATGATAAAAATATATATGTTAGTCTTAAAAAGATTATTTCCAGTTGCCGATATCATTATAAAAGAAATAGAATCTCACTCATCTAAGTACAGATAGGATTCTTGTTACATCCTTTTCATACTTATAAATCGTTTTATGGAAAATTTTTTATTGACAAATCTTAACCTCACAGTATATTTAGATCAATCGCACAGAAACTAATTTAGATCCTGTTTCTGATGATACCATACATAATACTGAAGAAATCAATAAATGATAATAGAATAAACAACTTAAGAATTAACATTGAATGAGTGAGATGATCAAAGTGTAGTACCATGGTCGCATATTTTTCCGATTACCACTGATACTATTACCAGATTTAGCCTGACAATTTCATATCCGTGCTAATGAGGTGTAGCAACTTGAACCAATGTACATACGTACCAGGTTCGACGTTGTGACTGACTGGCAACTAACTTGAACAGATTTGATATCAGTTTGAAATTATTGATATGAGTTTAAATATTACATGAACAAATGAAGGCAGTTTGTAGAAAACAAATTGCTGAATAAGTAATCCTTAATTTTAAGTCTGTTGACAATATGCTTGTCTGTCGTAATGGCCCGCCAGATCCATTTTAGCTGGAATAATACCATGCCAATCGGATCGGTAGAACGGTAAAACTAAAAGCAGAAAATTCATAATCAAATTACGAAGACGTACGGCTGACTGTACTGAGGTATGACGTTAGTAAGGTGTTTTCCTTAGACAAATAGCATCTGCAGCGATGCTACCTGCACACAACGGAAAGAAGAGGTTAGAAAAGGCCGACCTTAAAAATGCAGCACCGTATCTTAACGCATGTATGTCTATCTCCATCAGTAAGGCCTTTTGACGTACGAAGTTTACATAACACAAAACCCACAGAAAGGACGCATGTGACAGCCCTCAGGCAGTTCCCTCTTTTACTTCGTAGTCATACTCTCAGGTCGGTACAATCACTACTAATCCAGTTTCCTTCCTCAAGTATTTTAAGAAGAAATATCCTTCTACATTGTGGGCAACCAAAAAGTGATAACCGCCCTCGTACGTCTAACAGCACTAAATATCTTTCTGACAACATCTTTGACGAAATAAATAATGAACTTCTGCATTAATCCTATTTGCATATCCCTCCATATGAATCTGTATCAGTTCCTATTTGCTTCTTTTTGTGCAACTATATAAGAGGTCTATACACATGTAACCATAATGGTTTGCTTGTAAACGGGAACACCAAACTGAAATTAGTATACAATGTTTTGAAGATCATAATGTAAAAAATACAACTATGTATTGCGTATTAACTTCTAGGAGAGCTGTCTCATCTATAATTTCGAATACAATCCAGACAAGAAATTCAGATAAAAACTATGATCTCACAAATAACATAGAGGTATAAATAATGCCTAATACAAGTTAAATATTTTGAGATGATTATTATTTTATGGAATCATTAGATATTCAGTCTCAGAAATTGACTATTGAGATCAAATTCCATGTACCTATATTAATTGCTTTTCTGGTGTTTAGGAGGGGTATTGGTCTTGTGACTTCCGAATAATCTCAGCTTTCATCATGAGGTGTCGTAATTCTTTCTTCAACTCGGAGGACAGAGTTTAAGTTGTTCGATTTCTTTATTCTAGTTAGCACTTCTTAGCAAGGTTGTTTTCTATGGGATGGGGATTTTGACCATACACCCATCCCTCCTCCTTTGTGTGGGCTTAGGACTGACAGTAACCCTAGGAGAGCTGCAGGCGGAGTTAGATCAAATTCAGTATGATATTATTGGTATAGAGGGATATTTTGGAGATCATAGAATTTGTGCAGTTTAAATCACGAACTTATTTTTGCTGAACCACTATTGAAAACCTTGAATCACTAGATGGCTGTTTCGTGTTATATAGGACGCCTTAGCAGTACACATTCATAACCCCTCATCCGGGATTCGATCCCAGGATTTAGGCACGATCAATTCGTGATCTAACCAGTATGATACCTAAGAAATACTAAGAACTTAATTATCGACACTAGATATGTAATTAATTTCTACAGAGTTAACTAGTGAATGTAGACGTTAGATTTCAGTACTGAAAAATGTATTTTCGCTGTTTTGAAGATTTCAGTGTTTGGACTATATTTTAATTCTCAAACTGATATACTTACACTTCCAGTTGAAACAAATATCAATATTTACACATGGAACTGAACAGACCTGTGAGATGATAGCGGGTTACAGGAACACTTGAAACACTCATGATTGATTTAATTATATTCAACACAGATGGAGCACATGTTTTACGATTCTCGTCTTTGATTAACTTATATCTGCGAATATGTGTTTTCATGTACGAACTTCTATGGTTCAAACTTCACATTTCAATTAATAAACGTAAACTTAGGGTTATTTTTACGTATCGTAATGAGCTAAATGATTCCTGATCATAATATACTACTCATCCACGTCATTATCTTAATTTTAGAAAGACATTTTGCTATATGTCATGCGTCCAATTTATCTACGTTCATAGAATTCTTTATTTAAAATATTTGCCCAACTCTAACTGAATAAATGTAAGATTAAGAAAATAAATGTAACCCATCCATTGCACTATTAATTCCCATTGTAACACTGACAATAAGTGCAATGTAGCGGTAAACCATGTACTATGGTAAACTTTGTTAACAGATGATGTTGACTGTATCTGCATTTATCAACTAAACAAGTTGATATTCAGCGATCAAACAGTAACAACGTCAATTCGGTTATTCACTTTACACGTTGTGATATATTTACATTATACCCAAATTACCACAAAATTAATCTTCTCTTCACTGACTTCTATCATTGAACGGATAAAAATGTTCTCTCTAAATCAATATTATATTCTTTCTTTTAAACAACTAATCAATTGTGTATACAAAGTATCGGAATACAATCTCATCAAAGCTTCACATCAATATTATTAGCTTTTATTGAAAATGATCCACTATACACGTAATATTGAATTCCTACAATATGAGCTCACTTAGTATGAAATTCTACAACTAGATTATAAATATTAATTTATTCATCTAATAATTAAAAGTTAATTGATTTTTTCCTCGCTTTCAATGTGGAAAGTAAATGTTTATTAAGTTTATAGTTGAATTCATGAGTCACTTGAAGCTAGACCACCATAGGAAACCTGAAAGCACTGGATTGCCATTTCGTCTCAGTATGGGATTCTTCAGCAGTGCGCATCTACAATCCCACCCCACAAGATTCGAACCCAAGACTTATCGGTTTCGCACGCGAACGCTTAATGTCTATACCACTCGCGGGGCTTAGGAGAACGAAATGGTCATCCAGTGCTTCCAGGTTTTCCATGATGGTCTAGTTTCAAGTGACTCATGATCTCAACTATTAAAATTACTATAATATCCACAAGAACCCCTTCTGAAACTCACTTTTTTTAAAAATATTCCTATTTTTCAATTGTTTCTGTTTTAAATAGAAGGTATATTCAACTAACACAAGATGATCATTAAAAAGTAAAATTAGATTCAATTAATTCATGACTAATGATAAAATATTGTTTATAATACTTAAATCTTCATATACGTATTATTTACAGAACTTCACAATTTTCTCATTATGATTTGTGTATTGTTGTTCACTTCACAATAAACATGAATAAACAAGATTAATTTGTTTAGAAAATCATATTAACAATGTAGATCATTGTTACTATGATTTTCAAATAAGATCAAAATAGATAATGATCGGAATATATACACATATATACAAAACAAAGATCAAATCAATCATAGCCTAATGAATATCTTATTTTATGTTGAATTGAGCTTCAAAAATGTACAATTAAGTTTATGATCAAAATACCATCACGTATCATGTGATACATGATCGAGCTAGATAAGGCCTAGATGTAGATGGAATCACATGATTGACCTAAACTAGTCGAATAGACTATTAATATATATAATGTGAATAAAAATGCCTATATATATATATATATATAACTTCTCTCAGAATAATTCATTCGTGAATATGTATTATGTGTATTATTGGTCTAAGATAAAATAATTGCATCCATATAGATATATATTGCATAATTCATCATAGAAAAATAAAAAACATACATCTAATCAACTTATATTCAGGAAAAAAATAACAATATATGCTTTCCTTATGAATAATGTTTTAATTAGTATAAGCATTATTAATTAATCCTGTTGTCGATGAGAAGTGAAGTGTTTCTATAGTTAATAAAATTTTGTTTAGAATGAAATTTCTAGAGAAAATAACACATCAATATTCAATATCTATTCGTTTATTGAATGAGAAGAAGAAGAATAAATGACCAAAAGTGTAATACACATTGAT